AATTAATTCCATCCCCTAATTAGCACATCATGTGCCTTAACACGGAAGGCCCTAAAAAATTAAAAATTTTAAACCAGACTCCAAATTTTATAACAATTGTATTATTTATTAGAAAAATTATTTAACACATATATGTAAAAATTAAACTCGTTAATCATATTTATTTAAATTTCAATCCTAAAACATAAACACTAAACCATAAATTAAAAAAAAACATAAAATTTAAACTATACATTTTAAAAAGATGAGATATTTTTTTCTAATGATCTAGGATTAAGACAAAAGACATTTAAATATATATAATTGTGAAATTAATTGAGCAGTGATTTAAGTAATAAAAAAGAATATTGTTTGGTTTAGAGAACATAGGTTTAAATAGTTACTTTTATAGAGAATATGTACATTGATAATAAGTTAAAAAAATAAACATATAATACGTTGTAATCATTCAAACTCATGTGTATCGTTTTTTTGTTTATAATTTACTATTAGTATGTTATTTAGTACAACATTAATATTAAATATGATGTTTAAAATCATTTCCCATTATGAATATGTAACACTTAATTTGAAGACGATCAATCAGTTCAATAAGTAAATCTTCAACAAATATTATTTGCAAAATGTTTAATACATCATTTATCAAAAACATAAATTCAAGGTAATATATGCTTAAAGATAATTCACAACCTGACATTAAACGCTCGTATCTCTGGCATTCCTAGTACTCAAACCCGTGACCTCAATGAATATGATAAAGAAACATAAATTTATAAAAGGATAAAACAACACCAACAAAAAGACCATATATGTCTTGGATTATTACCACATATATAACTATTATTGTCCCTCCCTCTAGAACCTCAGCAGCGAACTATGAGCCGCCACCTCCTTTTCCTGGAAATGAGCAACGATACTTAGGGTCCAAGCTATCAGCTGATCTACATCCATCCCATAGTTTCCGATGAGCTTCAAGAGGCATGATCATCATTAAAGTTAGGATCAAAGCCACAACAACTACTTTTGCAATAAGGAACAGATTCGGGTTCATTTTGGAGAGTTTTTTTTTTTTAGAACTAATGAGAGGAATTGGCGACCATGTTTACTTGTATATTCGCTCTTGCTATGGGGTCATACTGATTGAAGAAAATGGCATCCAGCCCCGGTTATATACAAATTTCCAAGGTCTTGTATCACCCACTTACACCCCACAATTTCTTTAAGTTTTACTTTTCTCCCATACAATATGTCTTCACTTGGACCCGTTGCCTTCGACGTTACCATAAGAATAAGGTGGTAGAACCAATTGAGTGAACTTAATGGTAAAAGAAAATATCGTTCTCTCTAAAAAGTCCTGATGGATTAAACTTCATATTTGTGGGCACACATTTATATTGTACAATGTTATCATAGAATGACACAAAATTAAGTCACCAATTATGTTACATGTGTCATATGTATTAAAGTGCCATGTAATTAAAAGTGTAGATACCATAAGTTATATTTATAATTTGACGAGGGACATAATTTATAAATATTTAATAGATTGACCTAATATTCATTCTATATAAGGAGCTAGTGGTCCTCAAGAAATATGTCAATTTGTATACTCTTATCTCAAAGAGTTTTTACTGTAAGAGAAAATATATATTCTTAGAATATCACAAAAAAAAATCCAAGTTTGAGCATTTATTTCTCTAGGATGTGGGTATCTTGTTAATAGGTTAAGGTCTAAATTATAAAAAGAGGACACAATAACTTTGAGTTCATGAATTTAACAATTTTTTTCTATTTAAGTTCTTTTGATCTCATACTACCAAAATTTTGTCAAGTTTAGGTATGAAAAGATATAAGGAGAAAATTGGATTAAAACTTTGCCAGCTTAGGGGAACTGGTCCCATCAAAAAGGGTAAAATTTCAATAAGATCCCTCTAAAAGAATATAAGATTACAAATTAATATAATGGTAAATTTTTAACTTGACCTTTAAAAAGTACCAAACCATACCGGTCATACTAATCCATATGGGTTTAGGGTTTAAGGTTTATATAAGGGATGAAGCCAAACCTGTTGTAGGTGGGATGGGATAAAACTAAATTTTGGAGGAAGCAAAGCTATAAACATATTTTTAAATGGTTTAAACTAAATAATTGAATTTTAAGAGGGGCCAGAAGTGTAATTTTTTCACTTGATTAAAGACTTAAAAGACTTGATATAATATTTAAAATTAAAGATGAACAAAAATGAAAAATTCAATTATTCAAAGGGGAAGTTCAGATTTCTTTTTCATATTTAATAAAAAAGATTTCTTTTTCATATTTAATAAGAAAAATATTTCTATTTCATATAGGTTCCATTTTCTTGGGTGGGGACTTATGATGCATTTTTCTGGCAAAGGCAGAAGTTATTGAATTATATTTAAATGATCATTGTAATTTTATAATAAAATAAATATTATCATCAATTCATATATTCAGATTGACTAAACTAAAGAACTATTATCGAAATAAATTTTTTTATGATTATATTTGGTTTGTTCTTATTTTCATAATGAAAAATTATTAATATTAATATTAATATTTTTATATTGAAATAGTGGGAATGACACTTGAATATTTGCTAATTCATGTTCATTTGGATTGAATTATCTCTGAAATAACAGATTTTTTTCATCTGAATCATTTATAATATATTTTCAATTAGACAATTAATTATTTAATATATAAATTTATTAAATATTTTATTATATATAAGTGTAATATTTAAACTTTGTGAACAAGTATATTTAAATTTTTCTTCATGAATTTAACAACTTTTTTTCTATTTTGAGTGAAACTTCACAGTTCACACTCAGAAATTATAGGTAGGAACAGTTCCTACGTTTATTCACTGTAAGTAATGACCCTGTCCTGTCTAGTAAAAAAAACAGTTCTTTTGATGTTTACTGATCAACTATATATATTTCAATTTTGTGAACAAATATATTTGATATTTAAAGATTATATTATTTAAAAATAATTTAAAATTTTGAATATGAATCAGAGAAAACGAATATATAAGATATTAAAAAAATCTAGTTAACTATAAGTTTATGCACTTTAATAGGGATATATATACACACGAATTAATACAATTATATTATATTAGTGAAGAATATATAATTTATGGATAATAAAAAAATGAAAATTTTCCCAATGGAAAGGCTGAAATGAAATATTTCTTTTGAATAAAAATTAAAGAGAATCATGCTTGAATAAATACTTTTAGAATCATAATCATGTTTGTGAAGAATACTTTTTTGGATCTTCTTGGAACATCATAACTAAGAAAAATTCAAAGATTTCAACTTATCAATTAATTAAGGTACGCTTCTACAAATGTTATTTTTTTTATTCTTGATGATTTGACATAATTAGATCCTGGTCAATTTTCAAATATATTATGGTTTGGTTCTAACAAGTGGTATCATTACCTCATCATGTTGAATCATTAAGAATCAATTGATTTTAGGGTTATGATTATAAAATTAAATTCTTGTAAAAAATTTTGGTATAATTCTTAAAAGTTATAATTATATAAAATTTAGGGTTTATATTTTTATAAATTTATTAAATTTATTTAGAGAAATAAATTTATTTATTTATTCTCTTAAATTATAAAAATTAAGAACCAGTAAAATGGTGACTTGGATAGTGGGCACAAATGAGTCTGAGATATGAATTAAGAGGATTAAATTTATATCTTAATTATAAAAAAAGGGAAAAGATAACTTCTAATGCATGAATTTAATATATTTTTTATTTCAATCCTTTTAATCTCAGATTACCATGTCATTGAAAAAACTAAAATGGAAAATTTGCCAAGTTCAAGTATGAAAAGATATAAGAAAAAAATAGGGTTCAAACTCTAGATATTTGTCAGTTTAGTCAAGCTGATATATAAAACTTGAGACTCAGGACATAGTCTAAGGGGACTTGTCCCCTTCAAAAAGGGTAAAATTGCAGTAAGACCCCTTTAAAATTATAAGATTACAATTTATATAATGAGTATTTACCTATGCAGCTTTCTTTTCTATAGGAAGAAGTTTCCTCCTTTCTACCTCCAAGAGTCGTCGAAACGTTCAATACTAGCGACTTATAGCCTCCACTATTCAATGTACGTCCAGGTCCACGTCTAAAGGAAAAGTGATTTAACATTAATGTTCAAATTGACCTAATATTCATTTCATATAATGATGTAGTGGTCTCTAAGAAATAGAAATTTGTATTTCTTTTTTCTGTTAGAGAGTTCTTACGTCACGAGAAAATCTATCTTCTTAGAATATCACAATAATAATAAAAAAAATATCCAAGTTCATTATGTTTATTATGATTTGGTTTTAACATATTCAAGATCAAGCAATTATTTCTCTAGGATGTGGTTATGTTGTCAATAGGTTAAGGTCTAATCAACATTAGAAAAAGATAAGTGAACACAACGACCAACAACCGAAAAACGTGCCAAAAAGTAAAAGAAAACGTGTTATAAAAATAGATGAAAATGTGTCATATATGCAGACTTATTACAATTAAAAAAAGAAAATAAAGATGTAATATAAAAAATAAAAGAATAATAAAGAATGACAACGGTCGGCAACCAACATTAAAGCTATTGTCGTCGCCGATCTACAAAGACAAATAAAGAAAAAAATGATGAACGATTTACCAATGGACGACTTACCGTAATATCTGACTTGTGTTATTGGAAGAGACAGTATACAAACCGTGCTTCAGCGGTTATTTAGTAGGTTCGCTTTCTAACCTTGGAATTTTTTTAACATTTTAATTATAAAGGCTAAATTTAAAATTTAATTATTGTAGAAGGACTCGCTACATATTTAAACCCGACTATGTCTTATTCGAATACGAGATTTCTAGGGAAAATAATATTCTCTTTAACTACTAAGATGATCGTTGAATGAGTTTTAGAATACAGACATATGACTGCTGTACGCCATTGACAACACTAAATTAAACCTGGATTTGATGCAGTGTTGCCTTAATTGCATGCAATTCAGTGACAACATCCTCAATCTTCATTCTCTTGTCAGGAACTTCAACAGAGCATGCAACTCCGACCTTAGTGAACCAAACCAAACAGTCCAACATGTTCTGATCTCTTGTTTTCTGACTTTCCTCGTTGATTTGTTCAAGCAATCGAGAATCTAAAATCTCCTCCAATTGTTCAGGCAATGCCTTCTTACATAAACTATGAAGGCTTATCCCATCGTCGAACAGATCATCTGTCGGTCTCTTTCCGGTGATCATCTCCAAGACGATAATCCCATAGCTGTAAATGTCCCCTTCGGGGGATGTCGGAAAACCCATTCCGCATTCTGTAACGATACGGTTACATAATAGGAATACATCACAAAAAGGTCTATGTATCTTAAGGGGGGGAAATAAGATCAAAAGATATTAAATTTACCTGGGGCGAGATACCCGATCGTTCCTTTGATGATTGAGGAAGTTGATTGCTTGTTGTCCAGATTACTTGCAGCATAAGAAAGGAGCTTAGCCATGCCGAAGTCACTGACATGTGCAACCATGTCATCATCAAGAAGGACATTGGATGGCTTTAGATCCCGATGAACAATCGGTGTTCGACAATGGCGGTGAAGGTAATATATTGCATTTGCAACATCTATAGCAATGTTTAACATTTGAGCAAAGTCGAGATGACGTGAGAGACCTTCAACATGATCATGATGAAGCCAACTCTCTAAACTTCCATTCGCCATGAATTCCAAAACTATAGCCTTGAAATCATTGCCTTGGAAGTCTATGCTTGAGCAACAAGTTATCAGCTTGACTAGATTCCGATGTCGAACGTTTCTTAAAACCTCACATTCAGCTATGAAACTCTTGACAGCCCCGAGGTTTTGAAGGTTCTGTACTTTGATAGCAACGGGGTTTTCTTGTCGATTAAGAAATCCTTTATAAACAGACCCGAAACTTCCCTCACCAAGGAAGTTCAAGGCTGAGAAACCGTTAGTGGCTTCAACAAGTTCCTTGTATGTAACTTGAAAGAGGCTAACTTGCTGCTTCAAAGACAGAGGAATCATTTCTTTTTGCAATTGTTTTCGCCAACAAAGGATGGCAATGAATGCAACCGAAGCCGAGGCAAGCGAAAGGCTGATCATGATAACGACAATGGATTTCTTTGATAAACCATTTCGGTTTTTCATTGCCTTCTTATCGAAGCATTTCAGAAGCTCTATTTCAGGGATTCCCCCACAAAGATCCTTATTCCCAGCAACAGAGAATCGACTGATATTCTTGAAAACCCCTTCTTCCGGAACTTCACCCTCCAATTGGTTGAAAGAAAGGATTAAATTCACCAAAAAAGGAAGCTTTTGAAGTTCAAGTGGTATCGTGCCAGACAAGTTATTACCGGACAGATCTAAGATTTCAAGACCTCGTAAAGAACCAAGAGCTCGAGGAATGCTACCTTGAAAGTAGTTTCCCTGCATTCGCAAGATTCTTAATTCAGAAATCTCACCAAATTGCTCAGGAATTTCGCCTGAGAAATTGTTGTTATCAACATATAATCCTACAAGATTCTTTGAGTTACTAATATCTGATGGAAAGCTACCACTGAAAGAGTTGTGGGACAAATTCAGAGTAATCAAACTTTGAAAAGCAGCAAGCAGCTGATCCGGTATGGTACCGCCGAGTTTATTTAGAGAAAGATCCATCTTCTCCATATCTTTGCATCCCCTGAGTGTCGATGGAATCCTTCCCCGAAAATTGTTACCGTTTAAGTAAAGGTACAACAATCGAGAAAGATTGCCAATGGAGAATGGAATTTCACCAGATAAGTGATTCGAAGAGATGTCAAACTGTCCAAGGTTCTGAAGATGTCCAATGGAAACAGGAAGTTCTCCTGCAAGCAAGGTTTCCCCTAAATAAACATCCGTAAGCCCATAAAGATTACCAATTCCTCGAGGAATGCTTCCAGAAATCGGATTCCCTCCCATGTAAAGAGCTTCAAGCTTGGATGATAAATTTGCCACAGTGTCCGGAAACATCCCACCTAATCTATTCCCATGGATGATCAAATATAGCAATCCAGTGCAATTTCTTAGAGAAGAAAGAAAATCCAAGTCCCCTGCTATCCCAAGTCCGATATCGTTATTGTGAACGTCGAACAGCAAAAGATTACGAAGCTTTCCGAGATCGTCGGGAACTAATCCACTGAAACCATTTGAGTTGATGTCAAGCCGCTTTAGGCAAGAGATATTAACGACTGATCTCGGAATCCTTCCAGTGAATCGGTTTTGTCCAAGAAACAGAGTGTCAAGGCTCGGAAAAGCGAAACCGAGCCGAGGTGCAAGGCCACCAGATAAGTTATTTCGAGCCATACTAACATGTGTGAAAGAGGAAAGATTGTAGATAGAACTAGGTATGATACCGGACAGGTTATTATCAGCAATGGATAATATTTTCAAGCTCGATAATCTACCTAAAGCATCGGGTATACCTCCTTCCAAATGGTTATATTCTAGTCTGAGATAGTCCAATGATGACAAGTTTCCCAAAGAAGATGGAATTCCCACAACTAAATCATTTCTAGCAACAGACAGTTTGATCAGATTCTTCATATTATCCCCCAATCCAAAGGGAATTTCTCCAGAAAGACTGTTATAACTTAAATTAAGAAATACAAGGTTTGAGCAATTGCCAAGTTCCATAGGAATGTTACCTTGGAGATTATTCTGGCTTAAATTTAGAGAACGAAGCTGTCTCAATTGTCCGAATTCAGTCGGGATACTGCCTTGCAAACTGTTATTGAATAGGCTAGCCTCCCTTAGGAAGCTCAAATTCCCAATTGATGGAGATATGGAGCCGCCAAGTTTCATACCAGGCAGGCTCAAACTGATGACCTTTGATGCCGCCGACCACATCGAACGCCTTGCCACTCACAAAAATGGAGCGAAGCATTCCATGAATGTAGACCACCAACAAGCTGATCCTTGAAAGCAAGCAAAGCTAGTCTGTCTGTTTCGTTCCCCATGGCCGCCATGCCAAGCTTGAAGGAAGTAGATACCAATGTGATCACTGCAACAATGCAAAGCAAGAAGCTAATGTGGGCAATACAATTGATTTTCAAGCTTGATTTCTCCATTATCAGCTGTGATTTCTTTCTTTCTTCAAGGTTTAGCAACAAGTCTGATTACAAGCAAAGAATGGTCCATTGACATTTTTCTAATTACTCATTAAAGTCACAATCAAAGAGAATTTAGATTCAAAACTTAGAGACAAATTACTGGCAAAAAGTCATATATCATTTTCCCATTATTTCAATTTCCAAAGTAGTATGAATACAAATCTGGACTTTAATGTTAAATCACTTTTCCTTGAGACGTGGACCTGGACGTATAATGAATGGTGGAGGCTATAAGTCGCTAGTATTGAACGTTTCGACGACTCTTGGAGGTAGAAAGGAGGAAACATTAAAAGGTTTTTTTTTTATAGTCTTGTTCACAAAGTTTAAATATTAAAATTATATATAATAAAAATATTTAATAAATTTATACCTTAAATAATTAATTGTCTAATTGAAAATATATTATAAATGATCCAAATGAAGAAAACCTATTATTTCAAATATAATTCTATCCAAATGAACATAAATTAGCAAATATTTAAGTGTCATTACCACTACTTTAACAGACAAATATTAATATTAATATTAATATTAATATTTTTTCCTTATGAAAATAAGAACAAACCAAGTATAATCATAAAATTCCAGAAAAAAATTATTTCGATAATAGTTCTTCAGTTTAGTCAATCTGAAAATATGAATTGATGATAATATTAAACATTTCGATGACTCCTGGAGGTAGAAAAGAGGAAACATCTGTCCATAGAAAAAAAAAGGTGCTTAAGTCGTTTGTAAGTGGATCCATGATCCATCTGTTTACTTGCCTACTCGCTCTTGCTATGGGGCGAAGAAATTGACATCAGGCCCCGGTTATATACAACTTTTCAACGTCTTGGAACTTACCCCACAATTTCTCTAAATTTTACTTTTCTCCCCTACAATATATCTTGACAAGGGTATTTTTGTAATTTTACCCCATAATGCTATTTTTGGTAAATTTTTATCCAAATATTCCCAACATTTAACCTTTAACGAGATTAATCAAAATTTACGAGTTATGAGATTTAATGATTTACTAATTAAATCATTGAACTAAGATTTGTTTCCGATCTGTCTACCAATTTCTTTTTCGAGCCGTCAGAGTGTTATACAGTGTTCCATCTTTATTCCAATATCTGTCTGAGTCCAATGATAATTAAATACACTCATTTATATTCATGCATTTACCATTTATTAATTCGTTCCAAAAAGTATACAAAAGGTAGTAGAGTATTACCTCGATTATCGTGCTCCATCGATCGAACATTTAAATTTGATTCGATCACTCTCAAACTTGAATTCAACGTCCAATAATTCCTCTGATATATAGCAATTTTACGTTAGAAACTGGACTTAATTGAGAAACTAAATTGAATCTTAAGGTAAAACACTGAAAAACGGCTTACCGAGTACGAATTTGGCTAAACATACTTCATATTCGGACTCAGGACGTCGAAAAACATAAAATATGACTTTCTGGAAAATTTTCCTTTTTTGGTCAATGTAATCGATCAACGATCAGATCGGACAATGTCAATAGTCAGACCGATCAAAGTCAACGAGTCAGGTCAAAGTCATCGGGTCGGATCAAAGTCAAAGAGTCGGGTCGGGTTGCCTTGGTTCGAGTCAAATAGACCCGGTTCAGTCCAGGTTGGGCTGGTTCAGACCGATCCAGATCAGTTCTAGAATGTTTCCAGGGCAGGGTAAGAAGCCCTCGCTCACGCAGAGGCACGTGGTGGCATGTGGCAATAACGACAGGCTCGGGGTGGTCGGTCGATTACTCCACTAGCATCTACACACCATTTCAGACCAAAATCAAACAAAAAAAATCAACCAAACAGAGCTAAATCAACCGGAAACATTCGGGACTTAACCACGCCGGCGATGGAGGGAAATCGGCGGTGACAGCCTCACCCACTGGTCGGGTTTTGATCGTACGGAGCTTAGGAGTCTTCCAATGGTGGCGGTGAGGCGAGACGACGACAGAGGTGGCCGGAATCGACGAAAATCGGGGGTGGGGGTTTTTATGAAACCTTAACCGTTCCTTACCGACTAATGATGGCACCTTTCGACTAATTGGTTGAGGGGTTTCGTTCGGGCGATGACGACGACTTCACTAGGACGGGTGATGACGTGCAGCGCCGGCCGGAGGAGGGAGAAACGAGGAGGAAAGTGGTGG